ACTATAATGATCAACACATGACACTACACATTTATCAAAAGTTATTAAGCTTTATAGAACAGAATCAACCTTAATGTATACAAATGTTGGAAATTATTTATGAGGTCTAGGAGATACCAAGATAGAATGTGGGATGTGATGAAACAATATTATTGTATTTCAAATGTATTAGACTTACAACAACTAATGCCCTAAGTAACTTTGAAAATGAGTGGAAGTTGTTTTCCATGGAAGAGCTTGTTAACAATTTTAATACTTCTGTGCATGTATACTGGAAATAACTAAATAAATGAATGGCATATGCTGAAAGCCAGATTATTTAGTGTTGGAGTGAGAGTTCACAGATTAAAAAAAGGCTAGAATGGTCCATATGGTAATAAATTAGAGTTGGAGACATAAGTATGAACTCATGTTCAGCTTAATATATATATCACAGATGGTGATACCTAAAAATATGTATTGATATATGTGTATAATGGGTTAGTATACATTCATATCTTTCTTGCTCTGCCAACTAGGTAGACCTAAAAACAACAACCAAGAAGTGATAAACATACCTAGTGTCCAGATCTTGATTTCCTTTTTTTTTTTCCAATTTATTATGCTTTTGAGATGGAATCTTGAGGCTAGAGTACAGTGACATGATCTCAGCTCACTGCAACCTCCACCACCTGGGTTCAAGTGATTCTCCTGTCTCAGCCTCCCAAGTAGCTGGGATTACAGGCATGCACCTGGCTAATTTTTTTTTTTTTTTTTTTTTAGTAGAGACAGGGTTTTACTATGTTGGCCAGGCTGGTCTTGAACTCCCGACCTCAGGCAGTCTGCCTGTCTTGGCCTCCCAAAGTGCTAGCATTACAGGTGTGAGCCACCATGCCCGGCCCAGATCTTGCTGTCTAAAACCATTCCTTAATTAAAGTAAACAGGAGTCCTTAGAAAAATGGGTGATTCTAGGACTGGGTCAATAAATATATGAGCTTAAAGGACCTTGTAGTATAAGAAAGTAAGGAAGTGATAAAAAATATTCCAAAATGATTGGGGTATGACAAATGAATGCAAGAACCAGCTGAGAAAGCTTCCAATGGTTAAAACTGAAAAACTTTGAATAGTAAAATACAGTAGTGTTCATTATATAGCAAAGAATAAAATCAATATCTATGAGTTCATACTGATATAAATAAATGAAATAAATGAGGAGAGGAGACAATATGTAAAATTCCAAATAATTTATGTTCTATTCCACTTTTTAAATAGTAGACTATAACTTTTCTTAAGTGAGAATCTGCATTTAGAAACTTCCTTTCAAAGAGTACAATATGGAAAGTGCGGGGAGGGGTGACATAATATTAGAGTACAGAAACCTGACTAACACTGCCTTGGCCAGGTGTTCATTATCATCCTCATCATCAGTGATAAGTCAGGTTGATATTTAAAAACCTTGACATTATTTGATGCAAATGGCATTTTACATTTATGGTCTTCCTTTCTAGAACCCATAACACTACTCTAATCAGAAGAACTTCACATAATGTCTCCTAATTCAGAGACATTCTACAAAATACCTGACCAGTAATTCTCAAAGCTACTGAGGCCATCAAAAACAAGGTAAATATAAGAAGCTGTCATAAATAAGTGGAGGTCAAGGAGACATGATGACTAAATGTAATGTGTTATCACGAATTGGATCCTTAAATGGAAAAAAATGATATTAGGTAATAATAAATGAGATTTGAATAAAGCATGAACTTTAGTGAATAATAACATATCAATGTAGTTTCACAAGTTATAACAAATGTTCCATTCTAATGTAAGATGTCAACAGTGGGGAAACTATGTGTGGGATATACGGGAACTCCATATTATCATCATGACTTTTCTATAAAACTAAAACTTTTCAAAATATACAGTTTATTTTAAAATAAAAGTCAATGAATTCCTGTATAACATTAATAAACAATTTTAGGAGTGAAAGGGGTATAATGCCTTTTTTTAATTGCATTTTAGGTTTTGGGGTACTTGTGAAGAACATGCAAGATTGTTGCATAGGCACACACCTGGTAATGTGATTTGCTGCCTTCCTCCCCATCACCTGTATCTGCCATTGCTCTCCATGCTTTCTCTCCCCAACTCACCACCCCTCACTGTCCCTGCCCTATTTCCCCCCTACAGAGCCCAGTGTGTGATGCTTCTCTCCCAGTGTCCATGTGTTCTCATTGTTTAACACCCACCTATGAGTGAGAACATGCAGTGTTTGATTTTCTGTTCTTGTGTCAGTTTGCTGAGAATGCTGGTTTCCAGGTTCATCCATGTCCCAACAAAGGACACAAACTCATCGTTTTTGATGGCTGCATAGTATTCCATGGTGTATATATGCCACATTTTCCGTGTCCAGTCTATCATTGATGGGCATTTGGGTTGGTTCCAGGTCTTTGCTATTGTAAACAGTGTTGCAATGAACATTCGTGTGCATGTGTCCTTATAGTAGAAAGATTTATAATCCTTTGTCTATATACCCAGTAATGGGATTGCTGGGTCAAATGGAATTTCTATTTCTAGGTCCTTGAGGAATTGCCACACTGTCTTCCACAATGGTTGAACTAATTTACACTCCCACCAACAGTGTAAAAGTGTCCCTATTTCTCCACATCCTCTCCAGCATCTGTGGTCTCCGGATTTTTTAATGATTGCCATTCTAACTGGCATGAGGTAGTATCTCAATGTTGTTTTGATTTGTATTTCTCTAATGACGAGTGATGATGAGCATTTTTTCATGTTTGTTGGTCTCATGTATGTCTTCTTTTGTAAAGTGTCTGTTCATGTCCTTTGCCCACTTTTGAATGGGCTTGTTTTTTTCTTGTAAATCTGTTTTAGTTCTTTGTAGATTCTGGATATCAGCCCTTTGTCAGATTGGTAGATTGCAAAATATTTTTTCCCATTCTGTTGGTTGCCGATTCACTCTAAGGACTGTTTCTTTTGCTGTGCAGAAGCTGTGGAGTTTGATTAGGTCCCATTTGTCTATTTTGGCTTTTGGTGCCAATGCTTTTGGTGTTTTGGTCATGAAGTCCTTACCTAAGCCTATGTCCTGAATGGTTTTGCCTAGGTTTTCTTCTAGGGTTTTTATGGTGTTAGGTCTTATAATTAAGTCTTTAATCCATCTGGAGTTAATTTTAGTGTAAGGTGTCAGTAAGGGGTCCAATTTCTGCTTTCTGCACGTGGCTAGCCAGTTTTTCCAACACGATTTATTAAACAGGGACTCTTTTCCCCATTTCTTGTTTTTGTCAGGTTTGTCAAAGATCAGATGGTTGTAGATGTGTGGTCTCACCTCTGAGGCCTCTGTTCTGTTCCAGTGGTCTATGTCTCTGTTTTGGTACCAATACCATGCTGTATTGATTACTGTAGCCTTGTAGTATAGTTTGAAGTCTGGTAGTGTGATGCTTCCTGTTGTGTTTTTTTTGCTTAGAATTGACTTGGCTATGCAGGCTCTCTTTTGGTTCCATATGAAGTTTAAGGTGGTTTTTTCCAGTTCTGTTAAGAAGGTCCTTGGTAGCTTGATGGGGATAGCATTGAATCTGTAAATTACTTTGGGTAGTATGGTCATTTTCACGATATTGATTCTTCCTAACCATGAACATGGAATGTTTCTCCATCTGTTTGTGTCCTCTCTTATTTCATTGAGCAGTTGCTTGTAGTTCTCCTCGAAGAGGTCCTTTACGTTCTTTGTTAGTTGTATTCCCAGGTATTTTATTCTCTTTGTAGCAATTGTAAATGTCAGTTTGTTCTTGATGTGGCTCTCTTTAAGTCTGCTATTGGTGTATAGGAATGCTTGTGATTTTTGCGCATTGATTTTGTATCCTGCAACTTTGCTGAAGTTGCTTATCAGTTTCAGGAGATTTTGGGCTAAGACGATGGGGTCTTCTAGATATACAATTATGTCGTCTGCAAATAGAGACAATTTGACTTCCTCCTTTCCTATTTGAATACCCTTTATTTCTTTTTCTTTCCTGATTGCTGTGGCTAGAACTTCCAATACTATATTGACTAGGAGTGGTGAAAGAGGGCATCCTTGTCTAGTGCCAGATTTCAAAGGCAATGCTTCCAGTTTTTGTCCATTCAGTATGATATTGGCTGTTGGTTTGTCGTAAATAGCTTTTATTACTTTGAGATACGTTTCATCAATGCCTATTTTACTGAGGGGTTTTAGCATAAAGGGCTGTTGAATTTTGGCAAAGGCCTTCTCTGCATCAATTCAGAATAATCATGTGGTTTTTCTCTTTGGTTCTGTTTATGTGGTGAATTACTTTAATAGACTTGTGTGTGTTGAATCAGCCTTGCATCCCCAGGATGAAGCCTACTTGATCATGGTGGATAAGCTTTTTGATGTGCTATTGCAAGCGGTTTGTCAGTATTTTATTGAAGATTTTTGCAGCTATGCTCATCACGGATATTGACCTGAAGTTTTCTTTTCTTGCTGAGTCTCTGCCGGGTTTTGGTATCAGGATGATGTTGGTTCGTAAAATGATCCGGGAAGGATTGCCTCTTTTTGGATTGTTTGGAATAGTTTCAGAAGAAATGGTACCAGCTCCTCTTTGTATGTCAGGTAAAATTCGGCTGTGAATCCATCTGGATCTGGGCTTTTTTTTGGGTGGTAGGCTCTTAATTGCTGCCTCAACTTCAGACCTGGTTATTGGTCTATTCAGGGTTTTGGCTTCTTCCTGGTTTATGCTTGGGAGGATGCAAGTGTCCAGGAATTTATCCATTTCTTCCAGGTTTACCAGTTTATGTGCATAGAGATGTTTGTAATAATCTCTGATGATGGTTTGTATTTCTGTGGAATCTGTGGTGATATCCCCTTTATCATTTTTTATTGCATCTATTTGATTATTCTCTCTTTTCTTTTTTATTAATCTGGTTAGTAGTCTATTTTGTTGATCTTTTCAAAAAAACTAGCTCCTGGATTTATTAATTTTTTGAAGGTTTTTTTTTTTGTGTGTCTCTATCTCCTTCAGTTTTGCTCTGATCTTAGTTATTTCTTGTCTTCTGCTAGGTTTTTTTTTCCCATTTATTTATTTTATTGCATTTTAGGTTTTGAGGTACATGTGAAGAACATGCAAGATTGTTGCATAGGTATACACGTGGCAGTGTGATTTTCTGCATTCCTCCCCATCACCTACATATCTGGCATCTCTCCCCTTGCTATCTCTCCCCAACTCCCCACCCCCGACCATCCCTCCCCTATTTCCCCCTACTGACCCCAGTGTGTAGTGCTCCCCTCCCTGTGTCCATGTGTTCTCATTGTTCAACACCCGCCTATGAGTGAGAACATGCGGTGTTTGATCTTCTGCTCTTCTGTCAGTTGGCTGAGAATGATGGTTTCCAGGTTCATCCATGTCCCTACAAAGGACACAAACTCATCGTTTTTGACAGATTCTGCTAAGTTTTGAGATTTTTGGTCTTGCTCATCTAGCTCTTTCAATTTTGACCATAGGGTGTCAATTTTAGATCTTTCCTTGCTTCTCATGTGGGCATTTATTGCTCTATATTTTCCTCTAGAAACTGCTTTAAATGTGTCCCAGAGTTTCTGGTATGTTGTGTTTTCATTCTCATTGGTTTTGAAGAACATCTTTATTTCTGCCTTCATTTCATTGTTTATCCAGTCAAAATTCAAAAGCCAGTTGTTCGGTTTCCATGAAGCTGTGCGGTTCTGACTTAGTTTCGCAATTCTGAGTTCTAACTTGATTGCACTGTGGCCTGAGAGACTGTTTGTTATGATTTCCGTTCTTTTGCATTTGATGAGGGGTGATTTACTTCCAATTATGTGGTCAATTTTAGAGTAGGTGCGATGCTGTGCTGAGAAGTATATATTCTGTGGATTTGGGGTGGAGAGTTCTGTTAATGTCTATTAGGTTTGCTAGGTCCAGGTCTGAGTTCAGGTCCTGGATATCCTTATTAATTTTCTGTCTCATTGATCTGTCTAATATTGACAATGGGGTGTTAAAGTCTCCCACTATTATTGTGTGGGAGTCTAAGTCTCTTTGTAAGTCATTAATAACTTGCTTTATGTATCTGGGTGCTCCTGTATTGTGTGCATATATATTTAGGATCATTAGCTCTTCTTGTCGCATTGATCCTTTTACCATTATGTAATGTCTTTGTCTCTTTTGATCTTTGTTGGTTTAAAGTCTATTTTATTTGAGATGACAATTGCAACTCCTGCTTTTTTTTTTTTTTTTTTTTTTTTTTTTTTTTTTTTTTTTTTTTTTTTCTCTCCATTTGCTTGTTAAATCTTCCTCCATCCCTTGCATGTGTATCCTTGCATGAAAGATGGGTTTCCTGGATACAGCACACCAATGGGTTTTGGCTTTTTATCCAATTTGCCAGTCTATGTCTTTTGATTGGGGTGTTTAGCCCATTTACATTTAGGATTAATATTGTTATGTGTGAATTTGATCCTGCCATTTTGATGCTAGCTGGCTGTTTTGCCCGTTAGTTGATGCAGCTTCTTCATTGTGTTGATGCTCTTTATCATTTGGTATGCTTTTGGAGTGACTGGTACTGGCTGTTCCTTTCTATGTTTAGTGCCTCTTTCAGGAGCTCTTGTAAAGCAGACCTGGTGATGATGATATCTCTGAGTACTTGCTTGTTTGTAAAGGATTTTATTTTTCCTTCACTTATGAAGCTTAGTTTGGCTGGATATAAAATTCTGGGTTGAAAGCTCTTTTCTTTAAGGATGTTGAATATTGGCCCCCACTCTCTTCTGGCTTGTAGGGTTTCTGTTGAGAGATTGGCTGTGAGTCTGATGGGCTTCCCTTTGTGGGTAGCCTGTCCTTTCTCTCTGACTGCCCTTAGCATTTTCTCCTTTGTTTCAACCCTGGTGAATCTGATGATTATGTGCCTTGGGGTTGCTCTTCTTGAGGAATATCTTTGTGGTGGTCTCTGTATTTCCTGGACTTGAATATTGGCCTGCCTTGCTAGGTTGGGGAAGTTTTTTGGATAATATCCTGAAAAGTATTTTCCAGCTTGAATTCATTCTTTCCATCACATTCAGGTACACCTATCAAACGTAGACTAGGTCTTTTCACTTAGTCCCATATTTCTTGGAGACTTTGTTCATTATTTTTACTCTTTTTCCTCTAGTCTTACCTTCTTATTTTATTTCATTGAGTTGATCTTCGACCTCTGATATCCTTTCTTCTGCTTGGTCAATTTGGCTGTTGAAACTTGTGTATGCTTCACGAAGTTCTCGTGTTATGTTTTTCTGCTCCATCAATTCACTTCTTATATTCCTAAGTTGTTTTTTCTCATTAGCATTTTGTCAGATCTTTTTTCAAGGTTCTTATTTTCTTTGCGTTGTGTTAGAACATGTTCTTTTAGCTCACAGAAGTTTCTTATTATACACCTTCTGAAGCCTGATTCTGTCATTTCATCACACTCATTCTCCATCCAGCCTTGTTCCATTGCTGGTGGGGAGTTGTGATCCCTTGTAGGAGGAGAGGTGTTCTGGTTTCTGGGGTTTTCATCCTTTTTGTGCTGGTTTCTTCCCATCTTTATGGATTTATACACCTGTCGTCTTTGTAGTTGTTGACTTTCAGATTGGGTCTCTGAGTGGACACTGAATTTGTTGATCATGAAGTTATTTCTTTCTGTTTCTTAGTTTTCCTTCTACCAATCAGGTCCCTCTGCTGTAGGACTGCTGAGGTCCACTCCAGGCCCTGCTTGCTTGGGGAATCACCTGCAGCAGCTGCAGAACAGTATGGGTTGCTGCCAGTTTCTTCTTCTGCTATCTTTGTTTCTGAAGGATACCCACCTGATGTCAGTCTGAGCTGTCCTTTATGAGGTTACTCTTTGGATATACGGGGGGGGGGGTCAGGGAGCTGCTTGAGGAGACAGTCTGTCTTTTATAGGAGCTCAAGTGCTGAGCTGTGAGCTTCATTGTTCATTCAGAGCTGCTGGGCAGGTACATTTAAGTCTGTTGCCGCAGAACTCATAAACCCCCCCCTCCTTTTTTTTTCCAAGATGCTCTGTCCTGGAGAGTTAGGGCTTTATTTATGAGTTTCTGCTGTGCTGCTGCCTTTTTTCAGAGCTGCCCTGCCCAGCAAGGAGGCAGCCTAGTCACTATCTGCCTGCAGAGGCTTTGCTGAGCTGCTGTGGCCTCCACCCAGCTGCCGTGTGAACTTCCCTGCAGTCCTGTTTATACGGGTATAGTTAGAACTGCCTCAGCAATGGCCGCCCACCTCTGTAATGGCAGGCTGCCTTGGTAATGGTGGGCTTCCTCAGCAATAGCGGACCACCTCCGTAGTGGTGAAGTGCCTCAGTAATGGCGGACGCCCCTCCCCCACAAAGCTGGACCATCCTGGGTTCAGCTGTGCTTGCTGTGAAACTCTCAATCCAGAGCATTTCAGATTGCTGTTTTTTTGTGGGGGTGGGGCCAGCCTAGCCCGATCACCTGGCTGACTGCCTCAGAGCCATTTTTTTTTGTTGTTGTTGTTGTTGAATGGTCGACTGTCTCCCAGGTGTTCCAGTCACCTTTTGGAAAGGTGCTGAGATCTGTGTGATTTCCCATGCTGCGACCCACTGCACCAGCTGAAACAGCCACACTGAGATTTGTGGCGCTTTTTTGCCTGGAAATCTCCTGGCCTGGCTCCCTGCTTTATTCCCCTTTTCTATCAGTTGAATGGGCAACTCTGTCTTCCCAGAGCTCCAATCACCACCTAAAACAGTGCCTAGACCCATGTATTTTGTATGCAGAACCACCACGCCAGGTTTCCAGCCAAAACAGCTGCGCCAGCTGAAACAGCCATGCTGGCGACCCGTGGGTCTCCTCTGTCTGGGAATCACCTGGTCTGTGGGCAATAAAAATCTGTCTGGAAATGTAGTGTCCACTCACCCTCCATGCTTTCACTGGGAGCTGCAATCCTGAGCTGCTCCTAATCAGCCATCTTGGATCCATCATAATGCCTTTTCTATCAGCCATCACAATGGTCACTTATGACATTCCTATAACAAAAGACAAGATAAGAATAGAAAAGCATCACAAATTTATTTAACAAAATTTCAGGTGATGCAGGAGCCTTCAGAATTGAAGACCCCCAAACCCAGGGAATACTGTCTGTTTTTATCCTTAGGCTAAATGAAGAATACACAGCCATGAAGAAATGTGATTGGACAAAGGGTATGATCTGGTAACAGACAGAAAAGTGAAAGGTCCAGCAAGGCTTTTCTGTTCAGATTCTTCTTGGCCTCTCTGTGTAGAATTTTTTCCTCCTAAGTATGAGGCAAGAACTCTCTATCTGCAATCAGAGTCTTTAAAGGAGAAGGAAGAGAGTGACCTTTTAGGTTTTATGGCTTGCATTAGGTAAGAGTAGTTCTAGTTTCTATGACCTTCCATGAGATGAGGAATTTTGGATCCTATGACTAGCTTTGAAGAAAAACAAGGATCAGGAGACAGGAGGGCAGAAGAAGATCAGAGATGAGACAGTTAGAGAGACCTTACTTCTGAGGCCCTTCCAATCTACTTCAGTTCAAAGTCTTAAGCATACCAACGTGCTATACTTTAGAGTATTATGTTCTGAGAGCCAATATTATCATAAAATGTAGTTTTTTACAAGGAGCAATTGACTATTGAAACAAACACAATAACATACTTAGGAATAAATACCTTTAAAAGATTCAAGATATTTGCAGTATAAATTACAAAACTTCTTCAGTAAAAGACATAAATTGGTATGCAAATATGTATAGTAATTCACCATGTTCATGAATAGAAACACTCCGGTTGCTAATGATGCTAATTATTGCCAAGCAAATCAGCAATTGCAATGTACTTTCAATCTAAATCCCAACCTACTTTTGATGAAACTTTGCAAGCTCATCCTAAAATCTATCTGAAAGACTAAAGAAAAAAAAATTAGTAACGATGATAAAAGAATGTCAAAATGATTTTAAACAAGGAAATGAGGTATGGAGATTTTTCCTACCATGCAAGAAATGTTTTATTGTGTGTGTATGTGTGTGTATATATACACATATATATATGCACACACATACACACACAATAAATGTGTATATGTATATACACATATATCTACATATACACATTTTTATATATACTATATATACCTCTGCATATGTGTATGTGTGTGTGTGTATACATATACCTATACCCATACACACACTATGGCTACATATATGTGTATTAAAAATAAGGGGGAAATCATGGGCATACTAAACCATAATCATCATTGATTTTTGTTTGATTGTTTAAAATGAAGGATGGAATAGAATCATAGAGTAATACACCGACTTCAAATCCACCTCTTAGGTTTTATCTCTTTAAAAAATAAGACAAAGTTTGATCTAGAGCAAATGTACAATATTAAGCTTTGATAAGCTGCATGGTAGATGTGTAGTTATATATGCTATATCGCTCCCTATAGGTTTCTGTGTACCTAAATTATTTCATAACAAAAAACAAGGCAAACTGATTCTTAGAAAATGTAGACCACACATACCATTTTGTTGTTAAATTTTGTCAT